TGAAATAAGGAAACGTATTCGTGCTAGGAACACACGCGGATTTCGGACGCATAAATCTTGCTTGTATTTTGTAGATAATAATACTTTGTTTCATAATAAACAATTTGTCAAGTGTCATTTATTTACAGGTAATAGTGCATGTTTCAGTCGGGTAAATCTTGATTAATATTTGATACGCTGTTTTTGGCATATTGCAGACACATCAAGAAATATGCTCCCGATTTTAAACATTAATATCTCCGTGAATTTTTAAGTGAAATACAACTGTTATATATCAAAATCTAAGTTAGTCCTTCCTCTATTTGATGCAAGTTATTTCTCTTTAAAAGCTTTACTTATTTAGAAGTTATTTCGAATCAAACCGGAGTACTTTTTTTTGGGCCACCCGGTATCCTTGCACTATTATTCACCGACACTGAAATGAATAATTATCTTAGCATATACCACAACAGAACAAAAATAACGTATATCTTTGCACCATTCACCTCCGGACAAAAAATGGCTTCCCGTTTTGTTCCGGTTACAGGCGAGCAAATTTTCGTACTAAACGAAGTTGCCGTTCCACCAAACACAAATAAATGGCTTCGGCACAGCCTAGACCTAGACCTTTACTCGGCTGGTAATTATCGCAATGGTAATTTGCCTCGTAAATGCCTAGTAGATTTCACAAGTTCTCAAATTAGCCCCATAACTTTGTGATCCGAAATTGATCAGAAACCAACATCTAAAGCAATTTATACTGTCCAGTAATTACATTAACTATAAAAACATTTTATGACTAAACTAAGTTCTATTTTGTAGTAATATTTTGACTCATTTTGACCTTTTGCAACATAATAATAGTGTAGCTTCAAACTTTATGATAAAAAACCCGATTTTCTAGGCGTGTATACAAATAAAAATAGTAAGTTTATACTATAAATCAGAGCAGTTTCAGGGCAGTTTTGGCCTTGTTGTTGGGAAACCTTCTATTTTTTCGCTTGCGTCCATCCTCCGCCCCGCCCCCAAATCACCTAGTCCCAGTCTTTTCATGTGAAAAAGCGCTGAATATTAAAAAAATAATAAAAATAGGCCTAGGTCTAGGCTGGCTTTGGCAGTGTGTAGACAGAGGCATAGCTAGAGGTGGGTGTGGGGATGTAACCCCCCCCCCCCCCCACCCCATTCATTACGGACTCGGCAAATGTCTGTTAGACTCGGCAAATTGTTTTCTGATTTATCTGCAAATTGTTTTCGTAGTCAGCGAAAATATTTGAGTGGCTCGGAATAAAAAGTAATAGTTATAGCAAAAATTTACGAAAATTACGGAAAAAGGACAAATTTTCGTATGTCCAGAAAAATTACGATATGTCCGGAATAATTTTTGTATGTTCGAAAAACTTTAACTTTAACATACACAACGTATCTTTTGAAAATTACTTCGCCAATGAACTTACTAGATCGATCGTTTTTGAAGCAATTTAAAACATTCGCAGTGCGTGTTTTATCAGACCTAAAGATACTCGGCTTCGCCTCGTATCTTTATATCTGATAAAACACTGCTGCTCATGTTTTAAATAGTTCTTCTCGAACCGTGTAGTTTCCTATGCATGTCGTTTCAAAGGCAGTTTTACACCAACAATTAATGACAAGAAACATTGTATTATTTATAAATGTATTCAAGCGAGTACAGCCATACGCACCATTATCAATTTCTGACATTAATTTTGAATTCATACCTGTAAGAGCTGTGAATAATTTTTAATCGTCTTGTTTTTTTGTTTCGTTCCCCGCAGGAACGAAACGGTACTGTATTTGGTTTCGAGCAATTATCACAGGAAAGTGACGTCAGAGATCAAAGTTATCCAATCCTTTGCCAGTATTCTTGCTCAAACGTCAATTACATTTAGAATCGTCCAATGAGATGACCGCTCCTAGCATAAGAAGTTTTTTGGAGGCGTGGCGTATAATTCGGAAATCTTAGTTAATTATATATCAACCTATGAGAACATGGTAACTTAACCTGAAGTTCAGGCCCTAATTTTAAATAGGGCCTGACACAAAACCTGTCTAGACCGTGGGACGCTCACATGTTATTTTTAGACACAGCATGCAATATGATTGACAAGTGTTATAGCCTGCGAGCAGGCTCTCTGGGGAAAGAGAGCCTGCAAGGATCCCTATGATGATTGCGTGCCGCCCTTCAATTATGATGTCACAGGTCAATTAATAACAACCAATCAGCGCAGACCGGAATACACTACGATATTGTAAACATAAACCGATTCGTTTCAAATTCGTTAATAGTTTCGTATACAGACCGCCACTGTGGCATACTAAAAAGTTAAAACGGCTCGAGGTTTTACAGAGTAATATATCAAGTTGTACTTTTTATTACAATCTGTATGTGTTTCTCCTGTAGGCACAGTAAGTTTAAAGTTGTATATTACCCGCTAACTAATTCAGTTATTTGGAATTGCTTCGTGCTGCAATATATAATATACACTGTATACAGTCTATATATATATAGTAATAATATAACTTACTGAAATTTATGGCTTTGGTGAGACATAGACATATATGATATACCATGGACATTGGACATAATTTAATAATATGTTTATAGTTCAAATTTTGCAACAAAAAGTGGAATTGCAGTAAACATGCATGTGATAATTATTGTAAACAAAGTGACGAGTAAATTACTGTACATTTTACCTGTAACGCCGCATACTTATAAATATTAAATAGTCAGTATAACATTGTAAAACAAGCTGAATACACACAATATGCACTGAATATTATCAGAATTCCCAATATTGTTTCATAAAAGAGAAGCGATATAATGCCTTGTCCCTAGGTTTCGGTTTGCGAATTTTTGCAGTCTTTCTCAAGAATTATTCTTAGCTTAGGAGTCAGACAAGCCAAGGACACAATAAAGCATGCAAGCTTTTAGTATTCGTCTTTATATGAATACTATATTAATTTACAGTAAAAAGTCAACCAGGATCAAAATACATGACACTTTTATCTCTACATTGCCGCAATTCCGAAGCTTTGCGCACAGGGGGCAGAAAAGTACGATTGTGTTTATTTAAAATACCTTGTCATCAACCCGAATATATCGCATAGTTTCATCCAGGTTTCATCACGATGAAAATTATGTTGATTTTCGATAATATCATGTCTACTACTTCATGTAATTCAAACATTGTATTACAAGGACTGACCATAGTAGCGTGGGCTCATACTAGAACGATTGACTTTGCCATGTTCGGAAATAGTCGTTGCAATGCAATATGTTTGAATTACATGAAGTAGAAGGCATGATATTATCGAAAAAATAAAAATCAGCTAATTTTGATCCTTTTATGACTATGTCTGCGGATTGTTGTGATATAAATATGGGATATTCGTTGATGACAAGGTATTTATAAAACACAATCGTACTTTTCTGCCCCCTGTGTTTGCGTTGCTCGGTTTTACAAACGGGAAGTGCAAGTTTATGGAAGCTTGTCAATCACTTCATATGAATCAGTTATCAACCAATCAGAGCACTGCGTCCAAATATTGGACGCATGCACCGAATCATCAAAGGGATCCTTGCAGGCTCTCTTTCCCCAGAGAGCCTGCTCGCAGGCTACAAGTGTTATAGATTTCGTTACACAAAAAAATTATATTCTCATGAACATGTCCGCAGAGTGTGCATTTTGCTTTTTAATTAAACTTAAAAATTCAAGGTACTTTTATATAATTAAGAGTCAGTTTCTCTATTTAACCGAACAGCAAACGAAGATTCAATTAGTCAGTTCTGTGTACAGCTTGACTGCCAAGCTTTCTCAAGGTCTCAACTTGCTGGACGCGGATATATACCAGGGATATTACTTTAACGGGCTAACAACAGCAACAATAAAATTCTCAATCGTACCACGAAGAAGGCGATGTAGCTCAGAAAACAACGCCGGTAGGACCTGATATTAAAAATAAGACTTTTGCCGGTGAAGCCAGTTGGCAGAACATCTTGGCTGCCAACAACAAACTTTCGAATAGATGACTAGTTTGGCTGTTCTTTCAGCGTCGTGTGTCCAAAATTCGTCAAAGATTTTGATAAAGACCTTCAAAATACTATTTGTTTGATTTATTTTCTGCCATAAAGCATAAAAGAAAAGAAATTCGAAGAAATCGATAATGGATTTGTTACGTGCATTTGACCTTTATATTATTATTGTCCCCTTGAGCCCTTCACCGAGCTATTTTTAAAACTGTTGTTTATGTGAACTTGCAACCAATCAAAATCTAGGGCCTGAACTTCAGGTCAAAATCTACAGGCACGATGATTTATATTTGAAGTATTCAAGCGCCAACAGCGGTATATATTTATTATATAGTTTTCTTTGTTTTTCTTCATTTTAAATACTACAACTGTATTTCTGGACCGCTCGGCCCCTCCGGGTAATGAAAATTTATACAACCCGCCCGCCTCACAAAATGAACCAATTTCATTGCTCGACATATACAACCGTCACAACCGCTAATTACAGACGTCTGGTATTTCTATAATTATATTGGAACGAAACATTATTTCTTTTTTAAAGAAATATTTTCTTGTTGAACATTAAATAAGAGCTCAGAGCTCAGAAAATATAAATTTCTGTTTTAATTTCTGGTGTTTAAATTTCTGCACTCACCAGAGCGTGCGGAATGCACGTGGGCTCGTATTCGTGCCGATTAATCTTTAATTAGAACACCTGTACGGTTAATGTTTAATCGGCACAAATTTTAACCAATCAGAATCGAGTAAATTGACTAAAATGATATTAACCAGAATAATTAACTTAACCCAAATAGGAAAATTTAACCAAGAATTTTAACCAAGAGTGTTTTTCCAGTGTATAGTTACCCTGGATATGCTACTTTTCTGGGATGAGACACTTTTCTCTCTCTGTATTCAGCCGTATGGTCAAGTCCTATACTACCCAAGACGTCCTCTTGATACTTTTTTCAGCACTTTTAAGTTTTTAACCTATTTCCAGGGAAATTTCTACACAAACCAATGTCAGTCCTAGAGAACTGGACAAAACATTGAAATCATTGGTTGATGTAAAGCTTTTACTTTCATCTGAGGTGAGTTACAATCGTTGACAATTAATACACGCAGAAAGAGGTCATATTTCCTCCTGATTCTTAGTGTTTCTTACAACTAATAAAAATGGGTAAAGTGCGTAATGTAATAATGCAAATTGTTTTCTGGGCATTAACATTCATATTGAATAAATTACGTTTTCTCGTGGTAGGTTTCTCTGTCGCCATAATTTTGGAATTTAAATTAGTGATGATCTTCCCTTACTACCGGGTGGCCCAAAAAAAAGTTTGGTCCTGTTTGATTCGTAATAACATCTAAACAAGTATAGCTTTTAAAGAGAAATAACTTGCATCAAATAGAGGAAGGACTAACTTAGACTTTGATATATTACAGTTGTATTTCACTTAAAAATTCACGGAGATATTAATCTTTAAATTCGGGAGGATATTTCTTGATGTGTCTGAAATATGCAAAAATCGGCGTATCAAATATTAATCAAGATTTGCCCGACTGAAACATGCACTATTACCAGTAAATAAATGACACTTGACAAATTGTTTATTATGAAACAAAGTATTATTATATCTATTAATCCTGCTCTAACCGAGAAATAATCAACTTTGTTTTGAACCCATGAAAAACATAAAAAATAGGTTATTTAAGAAAAATTGAAGCGCCTGCCTTGCATGGTCTTTCAGTACCTTAAGTTTGCAAAGACCTATTAAATACTTACATAATTTCGAACGTTCATATTTCAGGAAACAATAAGTTAAGACTTACATGTAAGATGTCTAAATCTACGCCATATCCCTTACAAACCCTAACGACAATTCGCTGAAATACAATTTACCCTGATATGTCATTAAGCAAACAAACGCTGAAGTGAAAATTTGATACGCCGATTTTCGCTAATTTTAGACACATCCCAAAATATGCTCCCGATTTTGAACATTAATATCTCCGTGAATTTTTAAGTAAAATACAACTGTAACATATCAAAATCTAAGTTAGTCCTTCCTCTATGTAATGCAAGTTATTTCTGTTTGATAGCTTTACTTGTTTAGAAGTTATTATAAATCAAACAGGAGTACTTTTTTTTGGGCCACCCGGTACCATGTACCCGCACGTGTCGGGGGGAGGACAAAGGCGTGGGGGGGGGAGGCAAAGATCATGGAAATAAACTAAAAAGCAAGAAATATGTAAGATAATAGTCGACAATGCAAGAAATAGGTATATTGGATGCCGGCGCACTTTTTGGAATGATACTGTACCTTTTCGAACCTAAACACTCGATAAAACATTTCTTATCCATTGTTTTATCTTTTTTCAGGCAAGTGAATTTGCAAAATCAACGTTATCAATCAACACTGAATTTTCTAGCAAAAGAACAAAATTAAAGATTACAGTTCCTGTTTTGCGTGAAACGGCTCAGGTATAGACACTTCTTAAAAGTACACAAACTTATAAATGCTGTTTCCTCTCGTCGGCTTTCGTTAATTAAAGCCAGTATAATTCGCGAGGAAAACATTGCCAGCCATTTTATATTCTGTTGACACGCTATATACGTCCGTTAACCGTGTCTATTATCCTGAACGACGGGATTGGGTCATTGGAGTCCATTATATATTTTATGTATTGGTAACTACTGTTAATCTTATTCTTCGACGGCTGTTTTCTTATCTCTTGTCATCCTATAATGATCAACAGGAGTGTAAATCTTCGTTAAAAAAATTTCAATGCGTGTATTTAGTTTACTTTGATGACCTTATATTAGAAGCTTATCTATATTATAGTAAACTTAAAATCTGAAAATATCCATACTGTGGAAATTCTTTACAAATTGCCTGGGAAAAGGTGAGAAATTCAAACTTTTGTGAGAGACGAGGATGTCCAAACCTATACATAGCCCTTACGTGTTCAATGATTTATGGCCACATGCCCCCTTGTTCATAAACCCTATGCCCATTAAAACGCTTTCTTACAAATATTTTCTGCGATTTACATTTGTTTTGACGTAATCCATCTGATTGGCTTATTTTTTGTCACGTGATCGCTTTTATATTCACTAGTATGCAAACACATGTAATTGTTCCGATCCATGCTATATACTGACTTCCCTCAGCAGAACTTGCGTCGGAATGTCATAGGCCACGTAACTGGTAATCCGCCACTGGTGTAATGTAGTCAAAGCTACTTAAAAATTTGTATAATTTAAAACCGATTCTACTGACCTGAACGGTTATATTATTTATTCGAGAGGTATTGTGTTAATTTGTTTTTTTTTATCAACTATAGTTATTCTGTATATGGTTCACTTTAATAGGAGGTTCATCAATTTCGTTCTTCTATTGACGAAGACAGAAAGTTGTATATTCAGGTTAGGAAACGATTTAATTTTTTCACGCCTTGTGTAAAAAGTTTATTTGTTTATTCCTGTTCAATGTTGTATAAACTTGTATAGATCATGTTTTGCATTATTTTATTCATAGACGGACGGCCAAAACCGGAAAATGTGCAACAAAATTTGTTTGATGGCATTTCCTGTTACAAGCTGCCAACTGACATTTTCGTAGAGTATATGCATTAACGAACAAGACTAGACATGTTGGCAACTCTAATTATGGCTTTATAGATGAAAATTTGAGAATTTGAAAATTTTATCTATAAAAAGTACTATGATGAGAAAAATGCAAAATTACAAGTTCACATTTAACAAAAATAAATTATACCATTAGAAAGTTCGCAAAAAAAGTATATATAAGATATATAAGCGAGTAGTATGATTTTTGTAGCCAATTTTGTGCTTTTAACACTGGAAAATGAAAAAAAAACGTCAATTGATGCCGATAGTTACTATTTTGCCAACTTTAAGCTCCTTTAACTCAAAACTGGCTTGAAAATTCGCACTACTCGCTTAAATGTCTTATATATATTTTTCTCCGATCTTTCTAATGGTATATATTATTTTTGTGAAAAATGAACTTGAAATATTGTATTTTAGTCAACATAGTACTTTATTAGGCAAAATTTTAAAATTCAGCTGAAATTTTCAACTATAGAGCCAAAATCAGAGGTGCCAACATGTATAGTCTTGTTCACCAATGTGTAAGCTATAAGAAAATACCAGTTGACAGCTTGTAACAAAAAATGCCATCAGAGTGTACATTTCAGAATGTTGGCCGGTCGTCTATCAGCCTTGTGTTATGAACGAGAAGTTGCAATTCCGCTATTATTGTTAAACTGTTCTATACGTCTACTATATACATGAAGGCCTCCTTGAAAAGGTTTAACGAAAAGCCTGGCCAAAAAATTGAGATTTTTTGAGCATTTCGCTCTGAGTCAATAGAACTGACAGATGTTTGTAGGTGGGAATTTCGTTCTCGACCAATCAATGCATTTGTTGACATTTTTCGCTCTAAGCCAATCAGAATGCGTAATTGGTTACTACTTCCGGTAAAGACACACATTTGAACCGAAAATATAGGGTCTTAAATAGAGCTTCGAGGGGGTCAGGATTTTTAAATTTTTTTATTGGATTTAACGTGACAGGGTAAAATAAGAAATTTTCTAAAAATTTGCCCGCTCGGATTTGCGGTTTATTGCCTTCAGACACTGATTTTTAAGACATCCCATATATGGGGCAATGCCCCCGTCCTTTCCAGCATCCCTGGTATAGTTTTAAAGTTATCGGCATTCGAATAGCGACGTATAAAGAGCGCGTAAGTTCGAATGCCGATAATTTTAAAACTAGGCAATAAAACGCAAATCCCAACGGCAAATTTTTAGAAAATTTCTTATTTTACCTTGTCACGTTGAATTCAACCTAAAAAATAAAAATCCTGACCCCCTCGAAACTTTATTTAAGATCCTATATTTTCTGTTGAAATGTGTGTTTTTACCGGAAGTGGGCTTTCTGTGCTCGCAGCAACCTCGTACCCCGGGACTTTCCTCTTGGGGAGCAAAGACCCTGGTAGACGCTGGTCACGTGATCTGCTAAAATCTAGCAGATTTGTAATTAGCAATCCAAGATCAGGTCAATAAACATTTGATATTTGGATTATTTTGGTAGTTTAATTTATAATTTGCATTTTGTGTGATTGTCGTAAAGAAAACCAAGATAGTTAATTAAAAATCTGCTAGATTTTAGTAGATCACGTGACCAGCGTCTACCAGGGTCCTTGCTCCCCAAGAGGAAAACCCTGAGTACGAGGTTGTGCTCGCAGGGAAACTACTTACAAATGCGCTGACTGGTCGAGAACGAAATTTCCCCTTGTTGCGCCCTAACCAACTGAGCTACACGCCTACACTATAACCATTGAACTCTATAATAGATTTCAATTCTGCATGAAAACTGTTCACGCGTGGTATTTACATGCTCCACGTATGAAATATAATCTTTCAGTAATTATATGCAAATCTGCGCACGTGACTTCGTTTTCATACAGTGCATGGGTGCCATTTTTGAAATTATGTACGGATTTTAACATTTATTCTTCGTGAGTTTTGTATTTTAGGCTAGTTAAATTAACATTCATACAAACATTTTTTTCACTTTGTGTGGGTTATAAAGGATCAGCTTTCGGCCTTTGAGTGGTATTCGGACTTTAGATTGGTTCAGAAATCTATTCTGACAAATACCCAATGACACAAATGCAAAGAAAAGAGAAAATTATAGTGGAGTATTCTTTACCCAGTGTCAAAATAATCGAGTCATTCCGATCGATAATTTCATATCTTGTCTTAAATTTAGCCTTTGTTTCTAATATTGTTTAGGCAACAATTGTCCGCGTCATGAAAGCACGAAAGATTCTTAAACATAATATACTGATGCAAGAGGTACATATTTTTTAAGTGATTTCAACATGTATAGAAAAAGCATATGAAAATACTTTATACAGAATTTAGGAAAGGGAGACGTCTTTGGGCATTTGGTGTTGAAACTATATTTGGAATATACAGTAGTGTACGTAGCTTGAATTTTTTGTGCTTCTAGTGTTATGCACTCAAAAAGATACTGGTGAAGATATATGTTTTTGATGTTGTCTCTGACTGTGTTCACACCGAGGAAGCTGAAAAGTTTGCTCGACCGCGGTGGGAATCGAAATCACGACCTTTGCTAGTCCATTGCTGTACCAACTAAGCTACGAGGTCATGTTGGTCAAGTTTCTACGATCTTGAATTTTTTGTGCAGTTTCTGGTGTTATGCACTCGGGTGACGAAATATCACCCACTCGAACCGACTTGACCTCGCAGCTCAGTTGGGCAGAGCATTGGACTTTTAGGTCGCGAGTTTGATTCCCACCGCGGTCGAGCAAACTTTTCAGCCCGCTCGGTGTGAACAAACTCAGACACAGCATCACAAACATATATTCAAGAATCTCGTGGTATATAATACGTACCCCCGCTTCCAAAGTGCGCTGAGATATAGAGGATATTATACGGCGGCGCGAAGATATGACTTTTATCTTCGAGTGGTGAAAACAATATTTTACGAACGAGTGCAGCGAGTGAGAAAAATATTGTTTTTAACACGAGAAGATAAAAGTCATATCTCCAAGCCACCGTGTAATGTTCTGTTTATTATATAGTCCCAAGCAAAAAATTGTGAAATTTTCACGCTCCAAAGCAAATTGGAAAAAGTCACGTGATCGATATCTGCACTAGTGAAGATATGGAAAATATCTGACTGTGTATTTTCAGTGTCTCACTCTCTACTATATAATAAATCATGTTATTTTTCTTTCATTCAGGTTATTAGTCAATCAAAGACGAGATTCTCTCCAAGTGTATCCATGATTAAGGTGAATATTCCAGAATTCATGCCATGTTTCTAAACTAGCTCATTTTCAAAGTTGTGACATACCCAAGTGAATTATTTTCGCACCGTTTCTAACAAAGAGGGTGTCAGATCAGTCGTATATTTTTCTTATTTCTCAAATTCAGATTGGACGTCACCCGAAAATTGGTATAACTCAT